TGTTATCAGCTAGCACTGCCTGCCATCAGGGATGAGCAATGTTTGCTTGACCAATTATTTATATGCCTCTAAAACAAGAGTGAGTTTTGAGAAAGGATTTATTTGAAGGTGGAAAGCAAAACTTCTCTATTAGAAGAGAGGATCACAAATGGGCCATGCCAAATAACTGCTTTATTTAAGGGAGAATAAAGCTTCAGTAAATGTTATGTGAGGGTATGGAAAATTCTGTCATAGTTTGGCAGAGACATGCCTGGCGTAGGCAGGTGGGAGTTCAAGCCTGACATAAAAAAAGTAGCACTGGTGACATGAGAGGACATGAAAACACGAGGGGTGAAAGGTATGACCTGGTGTTCCCAGAGGGAGAGAAATTGCTTGCCAGAATATCTCAGCTGGGAGGGAACCAAAAATGCAAACACAGAAAGTCACCCCAACTCCCACTGTCTGTGCAAACCCAGGGAAGCCAGCAGTTGAGATATCAGCTTGGTCTTTAGACCATGCCCCTATTACTGTCAGGAAAAAATCCTTTTCATTTCATAGTAATTAAAATGCTCATAGATGTTTTATTAACTCACTCTACAGAGCCACATAGATTTTATAATTCATCCAAGCACTTACAAGTAGTTACTTGTGTTAGGCTGTCAAGACAGAAATGATTCAAAACCTTGTGTACTGAGCTTCTTGGAAGACATATCATTCCCTAACACAATGGTATTAGAAAGACTGCTGACAGATAGTGATCAAGAGATTTCATTTTGCTTGTCATATGGTGGGTTGTCAATTCTTCTTTTTTCTTTAGATAAAAGCTTAGTTGCATTAGATTTCAATAATGGTGAAGTTGCAGGTTAACATTTTTCAAAAGCACCAAAGTGACTTCAGTACTTAAATTCTATTTTCAAAATGCTGTAGACACTTGAGAACAGAAGTCTTTACAGTAAATGGAACTGAGACATTATTAAAGAAATTTATGGAATGGGGAGAATAAAACCCCAACTCAAGAGTGCCAAAGTTTGTACCCTAATCCAGACCACAGGTTTAAAAATAGATTAAGTTTATAGATTATTAAAATTCAAGGACAAGCCAAAGATTTACATTTCCATTTTGAACATACTTGCTTGTTTTAACATCAATGTATCCACTGCAGATTTCTTCCTACAGTTCTAAAAGAATTTCTAAATGACAATTTCAAGATGGCCTTCACCACAAAATACAAGATTTGCTGAGTTTTGCTCAGGATTTAAGCAGGTGATTCAGTGACATTTCTGCAAACTTTTCCATTAAAATATACATGCAAATTATTAGCTTGATTTTTTTTCCCTTATTTTAACAGCTTAGAGGAGGAAGTAGACATTTAAACTTTACTCCCCCCTTGAATGAAATGAAAAATTGAGCCAGTACATAAAAGTGGAAAAGTAGCCCAGATTTTCCATCTGTTAATACTAACCTAGTATTAAGCAAATAAATAATCCATGCGGTTAGTCTATATTTAAAATATTTGTTCTTCTTTAAATATAAAGTAACTTTCACAGAAACAAACAGAAGTGGCTAGAGACTGAAATCATTCCTTTGAAATTGAAGCTGAGTATTTTCTCCTTTAAGCTCCAAACATCATCTCCCTCATGCCCATAGGGCTTCACACTGTGCTCCAGGACTCCATTCGTTCACTGCTCCCCTCGACTGCTGAGCTCAGAGGCTGGTCCAGAAAAGGCTGGTTAGTGTAGCTTCCCCAAGATTTAAGAAGTTTATCTCCATTCATTAATTGTCATTTTTTAATGGTGAATTTCTCAAGTTAAACTGTATTTTTTCCAATGTTTTTAGTTTGCTCTGTTATTGCAGGTACTGACTATGAAATGTTGAGAGCAAACACGGTTTGAAACAGAACTGCCATTGCAGCTATAGAGCATCTACAAGGAAAAAAAAATAGGCCAGACCTTTATTAAATTTTAAAAGTATGCCTTCACTACACTCTTGTAAAGATCCAAATAGGGTATTCAAATCTCTAGAGATCACCAGTATAATTTCTTTATCATGTTCCATTTAAAATTTAATTATGTAGTCTACAACAAGAAGTATCTGAGTACTCTAAATAGGTCATGCAATGAACAACTTAATATTATTGTAAAGTTTTCCTTGTGAAGATCTCTTCTTTGATGTGCTGTTGCACATAGAAAGCCTTTCTTCGAAAAAACAATATACATTCATAGCTATAATAATGTCATTTATTATAAAAATTGTAAAGCTTCTTTATCACATTTTAAGTCTGAATTTTCAATTCATTCTCTAGCCTAGGCTTCCTGAAATCATCAGAAATAACTGGTAAATTAGAACTGACACAATATAATTGTACAGAATATTTTTATATCTTTCTACAGGCAAAGTTAATCTATTATCTTTCCTACTAAATGATGTCCACCAACTCACATTTTTCTATTTTTGCCTATCAGTGATACACATACTTCTGTGGCAAGAAGGGTGATTTCTTCTTCCTTTAAATATAATCATTAGAGAACCATCAGCAGTATTTAATAGAAAATGAATATATTAAAAATTCACATTTACCAAGACATTTTGTTATATTTGCTTTTTTAAAAAAATGCACACTTTTAACATCTCTTGGTTACTACTGAGATGAGAAAATATTCAAAATATACTCTTCTGTACTTCTGACTTATTAAAGGGCTTTATGGGAGCAAATCCCCAATCTCACCTCTTTAATTCAACTATGAAAAAATCAGAAGGGGTTTTTGAGAATTTTTTTTAAATGACAACAACAACAACAACAATAAATAATTAATGCCACCAGTGCCTAAACTTTCTTGACAGCCAGACAAAATATTCCAAGTACAGACACATCTGTTCACACTTACGCCATTTTCAGTGAAAACCCTTTCACCAGGTTTGGGAGTGCATGAAAATGATTTGATCAATCCTGGCCACAAATATATCCAAGAGTCATTACTGCTCTGGGAAAAGGCCTTGTGTTTGCCTGGACAAAGGAGGGTTGGATTTCCAGGGTTACAGGGGACTTGCTCTGCCCCACTGGACAAAACACAGTGATGGGAATCCCAGCAATGATGGGAAATTGGTTATTAATGTCGTCATTTCAAGGTGCAATACCTAACATTTTATGTGCTATAAAGTGGTTTCAGGAAGAAGGTGAAGAAGATGTGGGGAAATTAGACTATTTCACTGTTATGAATTAATAATAGCAAAACGAGTCACTTGACATTTGAAAGAAGAACAAAAAATATTAGATTAATAGATCACAACACAAGATTAAAAACCCCAAGGAGCTGTTTGCTTAGAGAAATTCAGGAACAGGTGAATCCTGGAGAAGGCTGGAGGACAAGCCAACCTGTGCCTAGCTGGAAACATTTGTTTTAAATCATGACAAGATCATTTGGTTTAATATTTATAACACAATTACAATGCCTTGTGCACATTGCTGGTATAATCTGATTTTACTTGTGACATCTTACTGCAGTTGAAATTAAAGCCTTGTGGTAATAATTCAAAAAGCACATTTAGACAATCATTAATGACAAGTATAAAATGGGATGTTTATCCAAGCACTTATGTGTCTCATTTTAGCTTTAATTTGAAGTGGAATTAATTTCTTCAGTGTAAAAACTCCATGTTTCCAGTATATTAGTCCTATAATACCTCACCAAGTGCAGTAAAACTAGAAGCATTTTAGCACTAAAACCAGTAAAAGATACAACTAAGCATCAATATTGACATTCCTGGCCAAGGAGATGGCTACACTATTGAATCCCTGTTTTTTTTGGGGTGTGTATATGTGTATATGAAGAAATGAAATTATTTTGCAAGGAAGAAGAAGAAAATTTGGTGTCAGATAGGTCTGATCACTGGTCAGCTCTTCAAACACATGGCAAAATTTTACCAGCATATTTGCTTGCACAACCATAGAGACCAAGTGGCAGTAAACAATAAAAAGAGATGCATCTATTAAATGAAGAAATCATATAAATCACATAAATTTGTACACACAGAACAAAGGGGCACATTACACAGGGAATAGTCATCATATATAGTGAAAATACATATTTTCACAACTTATCAATATGAAAAAGTCAACTATTATATACCACAGACCCTCTAAAGAAAGGTGGATTTTTTTTCTCTGCCTTAGAATCAGAAGCAACTTGCATGTATTAGAATACATAAAGAAAACTGTCCTTCCTGGTGAAATATTCTTTTTACATTACATATTATTTGAACCACAACACTGCTTTAGTCAGAGGATAGCAAAACCCCCCAAAACTATAACCCCACCTGAGAGCAGAACCAGTGGCAGAAGGTACAAGAGGACTGAGAGCATCTGTTTTTTTAACTCACCAGACATCGCTGCTAAATGACAGATTACCATATCAGATTTTTTTGTTTCCCTTCTCTCCATCCTTTTCTCTATCTGCATGATTACAGCATTTTATTGCATCCTCTGACAATATGTAGACAGGTCTCTCTTCAAAAATCTCTATCACAGCCTGGGAGTCTTGTCTAGTTCTATTATTTTATGAAAAGCTTTCTCAGCATAGAAGAATTTGGTCTAAGCTGCTTTCCTGCTTTCCAAATGAAAATGCCTTAAGATCACAGCTTTTTTTTCCTCCTACCTCCAAGTTTCCCTCCTCTCATCCCTCAGGTGAAATGTAAAGCAAAAGCCAAACCACCTGCCATGGGTATAATTGCACAGCTGGAAGGAAGCCACAGCTGGGATTTTTCTCATCAGGTGCACAACTGTGCTGAGCCTCAAAGCAACTTCAACCCGTCGCTTTAAGCTGTGTGGGCTTGGCTGTGCCAGTATTTCAGTGTCATTTGTCTGTCTGTGGCATGCAGGGAGCGTTCTCCTCTCTGCACCCCCGTTCTCAGTATCCCAGCAGTTTTCCCTAGGAAAAGGATCATGTTCTGGCTCCAAAGGTCGTGCCTCTTTCAGCACCTTCCGGACATTGACACACAGATGCAGCTTAGAGCAACTTGCTTACCTTGGTAATGTTCCAGACAACTCTGTGGCAGTCTCTCTGAAAGACACAAAGGGAGGAAAACTTAGTTTGTGTTTTAAACAGCTATAAAATTTTTAAGATGCCTTTGTACTGCTTGTGTTTTATAGGAGTGCAGACACACATCCACAGCTCTGTACGCAAAGGCGTCACTGGCGGATACGATGCACCCCGATCATATACAAAAGAATGTGAAAAAGCAGACGATGGAGTGTGATCTAAGGATCTATCAGAATCAAGTTCTCCGTGGTACAATTACTCATTTTTTTAGGCTTAAAATTATCACTGTTTCAAATGCCAGCACTGCATGATCTTACATAGACAAAACGAAGCACGGGGCCAATTTTCCAGTGGGAAATGTTCCCTTTTATTTCAGTGCTGCAGCAAAAGGAAGGCATTGGACAGTTCTACAATCAGGTTGTGCACACTGAGAAAATACCATGTTAATGTTAAATCTTCTTATGCTGGTCTTAAACAACAGTCGCTTTCCAAATATGTGACTTTTCATCCAATTTACTTGTCTGAAACCCTTTTGTGGGTGTACAATTTGTTTGAGGGAAGCTGAGTGCGAGATAGTGGAAGCGGGCTAATGTAGTGGCATGTCACATTAAAGCGCAATTAAATGCATTTCCATTACCTATGTACACAGTCCTTAAAATACATCCCAGATTTATCACCACTGTATGTCCTTGTTTCCCTCCCCAGCAAATTTGCCTAGACCTTATCCAAGAATCAGGAAAACAACTGGAATGCTCCAGTTCTCATTTTTCTCCCATACATAGGACCTTATAAAACCAGAAAGAAGGCATAAGAGGCTTCATTTTCTTAGACTTGACCAGATGCCCATCTCATTCCACAGTTTTCTAGTCCAGTTATAAAATTTGTATCCAATATACAAATTTTCTGCATGGAAGGAAACTGGTTAGTTCATACCCTTTTTGCTTCAGCTGAGATAGAAACTGCAAAATTTCACATCTGTAGATGGAACTTAGGGTATGGAACAATTCTTAACATAATGTTTTCTTATTATTTACGGCAGAGAAAATCCTTCCATGCACTTTTACAGCTGGAGGGGAATCTTTTAGTAAGGGGAGGTGGTAGTAATTAAGATAGGTCCCAAAATCTTCTTTGCCTTCGCAATTTCCAAAACTATGGATCTAGTTATCTCTCTGTATTGAAACAACCCTACACATTTTTGTTGCAAGAATAAGAACCTTATACATACAGACTGAACCCCAAAGGCTAATTTATTTATGAATCCAAAGGAAGAACAAGAAAGAAATATATTTTTGAAGGCTCTTCTAGAGTTTCCACATATTATGAAGTCACTTTTCTTGATGCGGCAACTACAGAGTTAATATATTAAAACCACAATAATCCAGAGCTCCTCTTCAGGAGATCTTTCTAGACGTTTCTAGTGCTTTTTTGGCACTATAGGAACTGTGAGAAGCTATGAGAGTCTAATTTTTTTTAATTGCAATTTTTTTTTTTTTATTTATTTGATATCCCACAGTGATACCAGGCTTTTTCCTTGATGGTTACACTGACAATTGTATTCTGCATTACAATGTCAGATGAAGTGAAATAGTCCCTCTAAATGTGCACAGCTTTGCGTTTTCAGAGTCTCTATCTCCAAGCTGTGCAGTTTGCTGGGCACAGAAGGTTGCCTTAAACCTCCCAGTGCTTTGCTTCAAAAGGCACAGAGCAGAACTGTGTTCAGTGGTTGCAAAGGAGATTAAGCAAGAAATATAAAATGGCTCACACCCTTTTCTTGCATGCACCATTCAGCAGCAGTCCAGCAGAAATTTAAGCCTCCAGGGAAAAGCAGTTTCCACCCTAGCTAAGGCAGACAGGTACATCTTTAGCAGGAGTCTGTGATGAACAAAGTCCATAATATAAATGACATCAAAGATGAGAGCCAGGAGCAAGAGCAAGTGAATGTAAACAGATAAGAAAAAGAAATTAGAGCAATAGAGACTCAGTTTCTATGGGGTTATTTGATACAGCTGTACATTTTAGATATTTTATTTTCATTAAACTCCTGCACATTGGTATCACACCACCTTATTTTCTAAGCCCTATTCATGACTTATACAATTTAATGAATTAATATAATATTTTTTATGACCTATCAAAGAACTGAATCACTAAATAGTTCCAACAGTCAGGACATTTTCCCCTCCCACCTTTAATCCCAGACATCATCTCTTTTCATTGAAATGTCTTTTTTTTTTTGAAGGAAAGAACCTAGATCTGGGAATCTCTTTGTTTCTTCTTCTAAAGGGCTCCATAGCCTTTAGCAATCCGTTGCTGTTCCAATAACAGAATGGCACAAACCTTATTGCTTTAGGGTATGGCAACATTTTATAAAATAGCAGTTGCTCATCCAGCTTAAAAGAGACAACCAGGCAAATCATGGGTGAGCGCTGCAGGAAGCATCAAGAAGCAGAATAAGGTTAGAATATAAGTTTAAAAAAGGATGTTAAACTGGAACCACACTGTCAGTTTGTGAGCAGAGCAGTGAGTGATTGGTGCATCTAAATTTCTAAAGATTTTCGTTTTTGTTAAATAACCCTCTCTACAAGGGATGCTAGCGTTGTGAAAACAATTATTAAATAGTCGATGCAGTGGTAAAAAAATCTGAATGTGATCAGAATATTAAACAAAGACACTGCAGGTCTTTAACATACATTTTTAATGTAATTAATTTTGTTGCCAGTTTCACATTTGGTCAGATCAAATTCCATTTTTTAGCAAAAAAATATGTAAGGTAATGGTTTAAAAAAATGGAAATACAGATCCAACTCAAATAAAACTCAAGTCCACAAGTAAAAGTCTGATTAGTTCCCAACTATCCAAAGATTTCACTGCTTCTCTTCAACTCAGTAAACACTTCTACCATAAAAACAAATTAACCCTACTTTTGATTATGAAACTAAAAATATTATTTCCCAGGAAACAAACACAATTATCCCCACCATGCCATTGAATATAATGGTATATGGACTGCTGAAGATGGTTAATATACGCAGTAAGTGTTCCTATAAATATTAAGAATTGAAACACCACTCTATAAATATATTTCATGGGAGTTTAAAAAAGAAAATCTTTTGGAGCAAATTACTCATCAAGAAAACCCTTATTGTTTGTTTAAAGATAATAGATACTCATTCTGTAGTCATTCAAGAAACTGAAAGTAGACTTGCACAACTGATTTTCAGACCACTAGTACTCCCAAATGACACACACAAAAAATATAACTCACAATTTACTGTATCTACAGGAAACAAAAAATTATTGGATGAAAACCAAAAGATAATACTCAAAGGGAGATTGAATATATGATCATGTATTTTTACATCCAGCCTGTGATATGAAAGGATGACCTTGAAAAAGTGTGAGGATGGAAACTTGAATGCTTTGTCAGAGCTGCCCTGAATTCCACTGAAATCAGCTCCAATGCAAATGGGATGATCTCAACAGTGCTAAGGCAAGGAGAAGACCTGTCTGAAGACCCTGGAAAGCTGTGATGAGGAGGATGACAATATGGAAGAGCAGGGCAGTGTCTCCAGGAAGATAATTTACAATTTCAAAGCATTTTGTGTTCAGTTGCAAAGGACAGACACAGGACAACACAATCTGTACATAAGGCAGATGCAGGTGCTGTTGAAACCAGGAGAGTGCTGGGGGGAGGTCTGCACCCCAAAATATTGAACCCTCCCATTGGGTCTTCCAAAGAAGCAAAGTTACAAATTGTTTCTGAGACCTGTGAGGAGCCTTGACCTGCTGCAGAGGCTCAGCGCTCTCGAGAGGACCATGTAGCTCTTATCAAAGCCCAGGGAGCCAGTGTGGGTGAACCAAGCACCACACACTCATTTTGTCATTTCTCTCCACAGGCTGAGAAATCCTGCCCGTAGGATTGAAGTAGGATGTATACCAAAGCAGAAAAGTATAAATATTTTAGTCAAAACCTTGCAGTGAAGTGGAAGTGGGAAGATCTGCATAAAGATCAGCAAACAGACTTTATTGCCTAATACTTCTGTTTAAAAGAGTTGTTCAAGAAAACTCTTCATAATATCTGGAAAGTGTTGTGTTTATATTAAATGTTTTGTTCACTGAGAAATCATATGGTGCTCTGCTCTCTGAGGCTGACTGGCAGCTGCTGTTACCCACCTACATGCAGGATTTAGCACAACACAGCTCTGAAGTTTGACTCTGCAACATTTTGCAGTTTGCCCAGAGAAGTTGTGGCTGCCCCATCCCAGGAAGTGACGACAAGACCAGGTTGGATGGGGCTTGGAGCAACCTGGTCTAATGGAAGGTGTCCCTGGTCATGGCAGAAGGATTGGAATGAGATGATTTTTAAGTCCCTTCCAACACAAATCATTTGATGATTTTTGCTGTGTTTCTGCAGAGATGTAAACTGAGGCACAAGAGACAAGGCAGCTTCTAAGGGGCAGCTGAGGTCATCTGGGCTAAATGCATGCCAATAACCTGAGCAAGTACTGAGTTCAAACCATAAAAGTCAAGACTTCACTTAGAAATCATCTTTTAGTTCTGCAGGATCATGACCCTTAGCGATTTGGAAGCTTTAGGTCTCCATCGAGAACAATTTTTGTTCTGAAAAGGAAAGCATATGGATTCTAGCTAAGCAATCTGTCGGGGTGCTGGGGAAGATGCAAAAAAAGGCAGCAACACATTCCTGCAATCGTGTTACCGTTCTTCCTTTTTCCATCTCACACTTTGGGGAGAGGATAAAGCCCGCCTACGGCACACAAGGCACATGAGGATAAGGGCGAAGCTGGAGAAGGGATCTGCATGGTGTGCTAATAAGAATGCAGCTCAAATGCAAGCAGAAAAGCCCCAGGATGCAGAATATGGGATTCTCCCAGTTTGGAAAGAGGGGTCTCCTAACCCTGAGGTCTTGGTTTTAGGCATCAGAACCAGCAGTCAACATTTCAACAAGGAGGGTTAAAAGGTCCTGTCTTCTCCAGGACAGGTGAACATGACCCCTTTGATTC